CTGGGCAACAGAGTGAGACTCCTTCTCGAAAAAATAAATAAATAAATAAATTTTAAGGTATATTTTCTAGCAAATTTTATATTTGCCACACTTTGTATAACAATGTAGTAAGATTTACCTTTTACAAACAAACGAAACCCATGCAACTGATTTAATTCTCTCACCTGTGGAGTGTATACCTTTATCTTAATTCACTGATCTGAAAGTTATATTGATAAGGAAACTCTCCAGTTAAACCCAGTTTTGGCTCACACCTGTAATCCCAGCACTTTGGGAGGCCGAGGTGGGTGGATCACCTGAGGTCAGGAGTTCAAGACAAGCCTGACCAACAGGGTGAAACCCCATCTCCACTGAAACTACAAAACTAGCTGGACGTGGTGGCGCATACCCGTAATCCCAGCGATTTAGGAGGCTGAGGCAGGAGAATCACTTGAACCCAGGAGGCAGAGGTTGCAGGGAGCTGAGATTGCACCATTGCACTCCAGCCTTGGCAACAAGAGTGAAACTCTATCTTTTTTTTTTTTTTTTTTTTGAGACGGAGTCTCGGTCTCGCCCAGGTTGGAGTGCAGTGGGCGATCTCGGCTCACTGTAAGCTCCGCCTCCCGGGTTCACGTCATTCTCCGGCCTCGGCCTCCTGAGTAGCTGGGATTACAGGCACCCGCCACCACGCCCGGCTAATTTTGTTTTTGTATTTTTAGTAGAGACGGGGTTTCGCCGTGTTAGCCAGGATGGTCTCGATTTCCTGACCTTGTGATCTGCCTGCCTCGGCCTCCCAAAGTGCTGGGATTACAGGCGTGAGCCACTGCGCCCGGCCTAAACTCCATCTTAAAGAAATAGAAAACAAAAACATTTTTTCAGGGCATTAAAAAACACGAAGTTTCTCATCAAAATCTACAAGGTACCATGTGAAATGAAATGGCATGAAGACAACAATGAGAAAACTGTAGCCACAACATGGAAAAATAAGGGCTGTGATGCATACATAGCTGGAATACACATGATACGAACAAATCTGAAGAAAATGAAAGCAGCGATTTTTTTTTTTTTTTTTTTTTGAGACGGAGCCAGAGACGGAGTCTCTCTGTCGCCCAGGCTGGAGAGCAGTGGCCGTGATCTCGGTTCACTGCAAGCTCTGCCTCCCGTGTTCACGCCATTCTCCTGCCTCAGCCTCCCGAGTAGCTGCAACTAGAGTAGCTGGAACTACAGGCCCCCTCTACCATGCCCAGTTAATTTTTTGTATTTTTAGTAGAGACAGGGTTTCACCGTGTTAGCCAGGATGGTCTCGATCTCCTGACCTTGTGATCCGCCCACCTCGACCTACCAAAATGTTGTGATTACAGGTGTGAGCCACCACATCAGGCCAGCATGTTTTTTTTTATTTTTTTTTTTTTTTAAGGCAGAGTCTCGTTCTGTCGCCCAGGCTGGAGTACAGTGGTGCGGTCTCGGCTCACTGCAACCTCCACCTCCCGGGTTCAAGTGATTCTCTGCCTCGGCCCCCAAAATAGCTGGAATTACAGGCACCCACCACCATGCCCGGGTAATTTTTGTATTTTTAGTAGAGACGGAGTCTCACCATCTTGGCCAGGCTGGTCTTGAACTCCTGACCTCGTGATCAACTTGTCTTGGCCTCCCAAAGTGCTGGGATTGTAAGTGTGAGCCACCATGCCCGGCCACATTTTTTTTTTTTTTAAATTCCAGCAACACTCAGCTTTTCAGCCTAGAAAAAGTGTCCTCTCCACATAAAAAATCAGTTTTATTTCTTCACCACTAATATTTTCTATCTCTGACTTGAAGTTACAAACCAACTTTAGCAGAAATGTTTATGGCTTTTTCTGGAGCATGTTACACAGCAAGAACTGCTATATATGCTTTCCACATTTACATATAAAAACATCTTCATGACTTACTAAGCTTCCCTTGTATTTACCTGAACAATTTGACTCCATAAATTTACTTATATCAATTATAAAAAGCTAAAAGAACAATAACTAAAGAATAGTAAGCTTATATACAGTTCTCCAATTGAAAACAAAATGGAATGTTCTAACTAAATAAAATGTAACAAAATACTCATTGTGGAATTACATATAAAAATTATTTTGTATGGACTACATTTCATAAAAATTATTCTTATAGTCACATTCCAGCTCATATATTTCATAAACTATAAAATATAAAAACACACAAAAAATAGAAGTCTGTCATGAGTACCAGGCAAGTATAAACAGATAATTTGCATCGGGAGATTTAGAAGCATAAGGCATAGATTATAGAGTAATAAATTCAATACAAAGTAGAGAGTATACATTTGCTTTTGGCATTTTTGAGGTTTTTAGTTTTCTAGTAGTCACCTTGTTAAAATGACTTGCTTTGTTCCTATATTGCTTTTTTTTCTGAAAATGGGTACAAACTCATACTCCATAGTTTTCTTACAGCTAAGGTTTATCTTTAGACTAATATATATTTAACTCTATGTAAATCAAAACTAAAAGTCTGTATGTGTTTGCGGGCAGAGAAGCCACATGTTCAAAAATATATGTAAGAAAAATTTAATGTTTATTCAGGACTCAGAAATGTATGGATTTTATTTATACTTGTAATTTTAATAATATTTATTCAGGACTCAGAAATGTATGGATTTTATACTTGCGTATTTTTTATTATGACCATAAAAATAACTCTGTGACCAATAACAATTGTGCATTTTAAAATAACTAAAAGTGTAGAACTGGATTGTTTGTAATACAAAGGATGAATGCTAGAGGTGATGGATACCCCTGATGTGATTATATATTTTACTCCTGCATCAAAATATGCATAAATATGGCATAAATATATACTCATATTAGGTACCCACAAAAAATTTTAAAAGTAAATTGAAATGATTGAAAAATTTAACCTACAGAAACAATATTCTTTAACTAATTTGTGGTTTAAACCCACTGACAAAAGAGATTACTTGAGATGTTAATCCAGGCGCAGTGGCATGATCTCAGCTCACTGCAACCTCTGTCTTCTGGTTTTAAGCGATTCTTGTGCCTCAGCCTCCCAAGTAGCTGGGATTACAGGCGCCAGCCACCACGACAGGCTAATTTTTGTATTTTTAGTAGAGATGGGGTTTCACCATGTTGGCCAGGCTGGTCTCGAACTCCTGACCTCGTGATTCATCTGCCTCGGCCTCCCAAAGTGCTGGGATTATAGGCGTGAACCACTGCGCCTGGCCCCTTATTGTTATGATCTTTCATCTATACCCTTAAGTAAAGTGGAACAGGTTAAGGTTCGTGGCATAATAACACTTCATTGAATGCACAATAGTATTTAACATGTTAAAAATATTGGATTAAAATATTAACTTCACACATAATCTAACATTTTTTAAATATACTGGATTTTACTATACAAAAGTACAATTAGTACAATAATATACTAATTTATTTTCATTTAATTTTAAGTAAAATTAAAAATGTTTTCTTCTCATAATGCAAAATCATATTACTGTGAACACCTACATAATGCATCATTCAATATAAGTTAACCACAAAGAGCCTCTTCACTTAATTTTTCATCATGCATCTTACATTTTAATGTCCTTACTCTTTCATAGACAAGATCATAATGGCCACTTAATAAAAAAGACTCTCATGTTTTTTTTCTTTTTCTTTTTTTTTTTTTTGAGACGGAGTCTCGCTCTGTAGCCCAGGCTGGAGTGCAGTGGCCAGATCTCAGCTCACTGCAAGCGCCGCCTCCCGGGTTCACGCCATTCTCCGGCCTCAGCCTCCCGAGTAGCTGGGACTACAGGCGCCCGCCACCTCGCCCGGCTAGTTTTTTGTATTTCTTAGTAGAGACGGGGTTTCACCATGTTAGCCAGGATGGTCTCGATCTCCTGACCTCGTGATCCACCCGTCTCGGCCTCCCAAAGTGCTGGGATTACAGGCTTGAGCCACCGCGCCCGGCCGACTCTCATGTTTTCAATGCAGCAATAACTGATCACATACTTTCACACGTGAATACAACCAAAATAAACAGTAGGAAATATTTTGAGAGTTGAATTACATCATTATTTACAAAAAAATCGTAATTTCTTCAAGAAATAAAGTATACTTTGAACATAACTCTGCAAAAAACCCTTCTACTCCTTTTAAAGTTATATACAAATAATTTTTCTACCAACTTTAGTTGTTGCTTTTTTTTTCCTTTTTTTTTTTTTTTTTGAGACAGAGTTACGCTCTTGTTGCCCAGGCTGGAGTGCAATGGCACAATCTCGGCTCACCACAACCTCCGCCTCCCAGGTTCAAGCAATTCTCCTGCCTCAGCCTCCCGAGTAGCTGGAATTACAGGCATACACCACCACACGTGGCTAATTCTGTATTTTTAGGAGAGCCGCAGTTTCTCCATGTTGGTCAGGCTGGTCTCAAACTCCTGACCTCAGGTGATTCACCCACCTCGGTTGCCCAAAGTGCTGGATTACAGATGTGAGCCACTGCATCCAGCCCCAACTTTAGTTTTATTTTCTATACTTAGCACTCTGATTTAGTATATCTGAAGTGTCAGTGCCTTATATATTTGTACTGTAAATTCTCTGACATTTATACAGATTTAATTTTGGTTAAATATTTTCATTTTTACTGCATCTGCAAAAATATATTTTAGTATGAACTCTGGTGTCTTCTAAGCTGTACTTTTTGAAAAAGTGTTTAAAATTTATTAAATTTGCAAAGTTTTTCTTCAATATAAATTCTCTGATGTTGAACAAACTTTGAGCAACTACTTCAGAGTTTTCTTCTAGTACAAAATATGTACAATAAAATCTGTGATACAAATAAAGGTACTACAACCCTCTTCACATTTGTAATGTTCATCTTCAAAATAAATACCTTCTTCACTTTAAAGGTTTGTATTTCCTGAAAGATCTTTTGACGGTAATTGCACTTATATTCCTTTTATTAAGTATGAACTCTCCAGTGGTAAGATGTGAATAGATATTAATGGCTTTTTCATGGTCTTTATATTTGTACAATTTTTCTCAGGTATAAATGCTCTCCTGTGCAATAAGGTGTGAGCATTCGTTAAAAGTTTTGCCATTGTTCACACTTGTAGTTTTCTTCAGCATGAACTATCTTACCTATAATCAAGTGTGACAACCATTTAAAGGCTTTGTCACATTCCTTACATTTCTAGGATTTCTCACCAGTATGATTTTTTATGTTTAAAAAAGTTTTAGTTGTTGTCAAAAGCACTGTCACATCTTTCAAGTTTGTAGAGTTTCTTTTCAGTATGAATTTTTTTTTTTTTTTTTTTTTTTTTTTTCCTGAGACAGAGTGTTACTCTTTACTCTTGTTGCCCAGGCTGGAGTGCAATGGCACGATCTCGGCTCACTGCAACCTCTGCCTCCCGGGTTCAAGCAATTCTTCTGCCTCAGCCTCCCGAGTAGCTGGGATTACAGGCATGCACCACCACGCCTGGCTAATTTTGTATTTTTAGTAGAGACGGGATTTCACCATGTTGGTCAGGCTGGTCTCGAACACTCGACCTCATGTGATTCACCCGTCTCAGCCTCCCAAAGCGCTGGGATTACAGGCGTGAGCCTCTACACCCAGCCCATGAATTATTTTATGTCTGGTAAGAATTGAGGACTTGTTGAAGGCTTTCCATATTCTTCACATTCATAGGGTTCCTCTTCAGTATGAATTTTCTTATGTTTAGTAAGAATTCAGGACTGGTTAAAGGCTTTGCCACATCTTCACATTTGTAGCGTTTCTCTCCAGTATGAATTACTTTGTTCAATAAGGTTTGAGGACTGGTTGAAAGCTTTGCTGTATTCTTCACAGTTGCAGGGTTTCTCTCCAGTATGAATTACTTTATGTTGAGTAAGAGTTGAAGACTGGCTAAAGGCTTTATCACATTCTAGATATGTGTAAGATGTATCTCCAATATGAGTTATCTTATGTTTAGTAAGGTTTGAGAATTGGTTAAAAGCTTTTCCACATTTTTCACATTTGTAGGGTTTCTCTCCAGAATGAATTACCTTATGTGCAGTAAGTTTTGGGGACCGGTTAAAGGCTTTGCCACATTCTTCACATTTGTAGGGTTTCTCTCCAGTATGAATTATCTTATGTGCAGTAAGGTTTGAGGACTCATTAAAAGCTTTGCCACATTGTTCACATTTGTAGGGCTTCTCTCCAGTGTGAATTCTTTTATGTTTAGTAAGGGTCGAGGACCAATTAAAGCCTTTGCCACATTCTTCACATTTGTAGAACTTCTCTCCGGTATGAATTATCTTATGTTTAGTAAGGTATGAGAATCGGTAAAAAGCTTTGCCACATTCTTCACATTTGTAAGGTTTCTCTCCAGCATGAATTATCTTATGTGTAGTAAGGGTTGAGGATTGGTTAAAAGCTTTGCCACATTCTTCACATTTGTAGGGTTTCTCTCCAGTATGAATAATCTTATGTGTAGTAAGGTGTGAGGACCGGTTAAAAGCTCTGCCACATTCTTCACATTTGTAGGGTTTCTCTCCAGTATGAATTCTTTTATGTGTAGTAAGGTGTGAAGACCGGTTAAAGGTTTTGCCACATTCTTCACATCTGTAGGGTTTCTCTCCAGTATGAATTATCTTATGTGTAGTAAGGGTTGAGGACTGCTTAAAAGCTTTGCCACATTCTTCACATTTGTAGGGTTTCTCTCCAGTATGAATTCTTCTGTGTCTAGTAAGGGTTGAGAACCAGTTAAAGACTTTACCACATTCTTCACATTGGTAAGAATTTTCCCTAATATGAATTCTTTTATGTTGAGTTAGGTGTAAAAGCATGCAAAACGATTTGTCACATTTTTTACATTTGAAAGGCTTCTTTCCTGTATGTCTTATCTTATGTATATTTGAATTTGAAAATGTATAAAAGACGTTCACATATTTATCACATTGAAATATTTCACTCTGGGTAGTTGTCAAACACTGGTTTAGTTCATTATAACACTCTTTGTGCAGATTACACTCATCCACACTTTTACAGTCTGTTCTTAACTGTAAATCTTCATGTCTACATTTTCCATATCTTCTCAATATGACTTCTTGGAAAGAATCTTTTATGCCCTGCTCTGGCCAAAGGTCTTGGGCAAAATGAGAATATATAACTGAAAGAAATAAAAATAACAAATTACTCCATTTACTAGACTCAGATGAATATGCTTTACAAATGTAACCCATAAAATTATACAAACTACATTAACAAGATGGCAAAGCAAAAGAACAAAGGCCCTAATTTTTTTTTTTTTTTTTTTTTGAGATGGAGTCTCACTCTGTAGCCCAGGATGGAGTGCAATGGCATGATCTCCGCTCACTGCAACCTCTGTCTCCCAGGCTCAAGCTGTTCTCCTGCCCCAGTGTCCAAAGTAGCTAGGATTACAGGCACGCACCACTATGCCCAACCAATTTTTGTATTTTTAGTAGAGATGGGGTTTCGCCATGTTAGCCAGTCTGGTCTTGAACTCCTGACCTCAGGTGATGCGTCCACTTCAGCCTCCCAAAGTGCTGGGATTACCGCACTTTGGCGCACTGGCCACCATGCCTGGCCCAAAGGCCCTAATTTTTTATGGACATGTAAATGTAACAAAAACATACAACAAAAATACATCTGAGGAAAATGTATAAATAAGTTACATGTGTGAAGTGCCCCAGCTGAGCACAACATAGAGAGTGACATAGAAGAAAAAGAAAAGTCTGTTACATTTACCCAACACAGCTCTTCCTGCTCCCCAATATAACCGTGCCTTTTGAAGTAAACTGCCAAGGTTTGGTTTCTTCTTTAAAAGACAATTAAAATACTGGCACATACATCTTTATTACTTGCTTCTAGGGTCCTGTCTAGACACTGGTTTCTGTCTCCTATGACATATAGTGCTGAAAGAAACAGTGGTATACTTTGGAATGACAGTTTAACTCTGCTGAGACCAAAGCTAAATGTTACAGCAGCAGAGAGGCTGCAGTCCCACACACAGAAAACAGGTGTAGCAAGTTATTACTATTAAGAAGAACCAAAAATAAACCAGGCGTGGTGGTTCACGCCTGTAATTCCAGCACTTTGGGAGGCTGAGGCTGGTGGATCACTTGAGGTCACAAGTTTGAGACCAACCTGACCAACACGGTGAAACTCCATCTCTACTTAAAAAAAAAAAAAAAAAGTAGCCAGGTGTGAGAGCGTGCACCTGCATTCCCAGCTACTTGGGAGGCTGAGGCGGGAGAATCACTTGAACCCAGGAGGCGCAGGGTGCAGTGAGCCAAGATTGCGCCACTGCACTCCAGTCTGGGAGACAGAGCAAGACTCTGTCTCAAAAAAAACTAAGAAAAGAAGAAACACAAACTCCTTTAATTAAAAAGTAAACACAAAATTGTAGATAAGACACATTCTAGGAACATGTTTGAGAGACTCCCAGGATCTCTAATCAAGACAATTGTTCAGACTATGCCAGGACAAAGCTACATTATAAAGATTGTGACAGGTAACATTTTTTAATGTCCAAATTTCAATCAAAGATTACAAATGTATACAAAATAAGGCAATATGGTTTTATCAAAAATGTTATAAAAGTTTCAGAGAGAAACCATAAAAAATGTATGTATTAATTTTAAAAATTGAAAATAAATTGAATACTCAGTGAGTGAAACAGAAAGAGAACTACAGAAAATCAGAAAAATGAGGGTAAGAACAAAAATATGTAAAATATTAGAAAAACAGAAATTATGACGGCAAAAAATCAAAAAGACTAACTGAAAAATCCTGAAAGAAAAAATGACATAAAAATGAAGAAGCTCAAAAAACAAACTAGGATATACACAAAGATATTTATAACAAACATATATGTAAGCACAATTTCAAAAGTCACATGCAAAAACAGCCTCTTGGAAACTGCAAGATAAAAGTGATATATCATTTGCAAGCATAGTCTTATTAGATAGCCAGTGAATTGTCAACAAAAATTTTGCAAGCCAGAAGGGTACTGTCTGATACAGTTAAAGTCCTGAAAATAATAGCTATCAAGTGAGTATAATATCATCAGCAAATATGTCCTGTTGAATAAAAAAACCAAAACCTTCAAAAATAACCAAATTCTGAAAAAGTGTATTAGCACTCCATATGCTCTACATATAAAAGGTGCTAAAAGCAGTTGCTTCAACTGAAAATAACATTATTCAATGAAACAACACATAATCATAGAAAAATACATTATTTTCTGGAAAAGATATCCACAAACACAAAAATGGAATTTTTTTTTTTTTGAGACGGAGTCTCACTCTGTCGCCCAGGCTGGAGTGCAGTGGCGCGATCTCGGCTCACTGCAAGCTCCGCCTCCCGGGCTTACGCCATTCTCCTGCCTCAGCCTCCCGAGTAGCTGGGACCACAGGTGCCCGCCACCTCACCTGGCTAGTGTTTTGTATTTTTTAGTAGAGACGGGGTTTCACCGTGTTCGCCAGGATGGTCTCGATCTCCTGACCTCGTGATCCGCCCGTCTCGGCCTCCCAAAGTGCTGGGATTACAGGCTTGAGCCACCGCGCCCGGCCACAAAAATGGAATTTTTAAGCATTATTATAATGGTACAGAAAACATTTTTAATTATTCTCTAAAATTTGAAAATTAAAAGCATAGAAATCATTATAAACATCTTGTTAGTGAATATACAACATAAAAAAATATAATTCAAACATCAATGAAAAATTTGAGGGCAGATGTAATGAGAAAAAACATTTGCACGCCACTGAGGTTTTTTTCTTTTTACCAGACTGAAATATATTGTTGTATCTTTTAGAGGTGTTATGTAATCCCCAAGATAGCACAAAGAATATATTTGTATAGATACATAAAATAAGAAAGAAGTAAATGTATATCAACAAAAAAATAAAAAAGACACAAATTAAGAGAGAAAATGAGGCCCGGCACAGCGGCTCACGCCTGTAATCCCAGCACTTTGGGAGGCCCAGGCGGGCGAATCACGAGGTCTAGAGATCAAGACCATTCTGGCTAACATGGTGAAACCCTGTCTCTACTAAAAATACAAAAAAATTAGCAGGGCATGGTGGCGGGCGCCTGTATTCCCAGCTACTTGGGAGGCTGAGCAGGAGAATGGCGTGAACCTGGGAGGCGGAGCTGGCAGTGAACCGAGATCTGGCCACTGCATTCCAGCCTGGGCGACAGAGCCAGACTCCGTCTCAAAAAAAAAAAGAGAATGAGAGACAAAGATACAAGAATCAAACAATAAAATAACATTAATAAGTCTGTTTCAGAGTTTATATATATACACATACATATATATAACTAACTTTCCAACCAAGAGACATACGTTCAATAAAGTGATTTATTAAAAAAATTTTGGGGCCAGGCACAGTGGCTCACCCTAGTAATCCCAGCACTTTGGGAGGGGGAGGCCAAGGCAGGCGGATCACGAAGTCAGGAGATTGAGACCACCCTAGCTAACACAGAGAAACCCTGTCTCTACTAAAAATACAAAAAATTAGCCAGGCGTGGTGGTGGGCGCCTGTAGTCCCAGCTACTCGGGAGGCTGAGGTAGGAGAATGGCGTGAACCCGGGAGGTGGAGCTTGCAGTGAGCCGAGATGGCGCCACTGCACTCCAGCCTGGGAGACAGAGGGAGACTCCATCTAAAAAAAAAAAAAAAATTTGGCTGGGTGCAGTGGCTCAAGCATGTAATCCCAGCACTTTTAGAGGCCAAGATGGGCAGACCACCTGAGGTCAGGAGTTTGAGACCAGCCTGGCCTATATGGTGAAACACCATCTCTAACAAAAATACAAAAATTAGCTGGGTGTGGTGGTACCCACCTGTAATCCCAGCTATTTGGGAGGCTGAGACAGGAGAATCACTTGAACCTGGAAGGCGGAGGTTACAGTGAGCTAAGATCATGCCATTGCACTCCAGCTTGGACGACATAGTGAGACTTTGTCTCAAAATAAATAAATAAATAAATAAATAAATAAATAAATAAAAATAAAAAACCAATGTAGAAAATAACCTATATGTGATGGCCCGTTCTCAATTCTAAGTGCGTTAGTTTTAAGCAGGTTACATGGAAATAAAGTGATAAAGAAGCAGAGTGTTCTGAGTCACCAGCTGCCTCCTTACTGCCTTCTCTTTTACCCAGCAGCCAGGCACCTATGGGTCAGGGTCCTTGCAACTACCCTCTCTCCACTCCACCAACAAATTTAGGTTAATTTGCAACATAGATAATTGTACCCTTTCTTATCAGCTAAGTGCAGCCACTAGGGCCACAAGTCAAAAGTCTGAAGAGTCCTGAACAGTTGCGATGCATTTTGGGCTGCAACAAAATGCAACAAGACAACTCAAAAGGAAACACCTAAAGCCCTTGCCAATAGGTGACATCTGGGAAGATTGTGGCCCCATAGTAGTCAGCCTATGAGGAACCGGGGGAGGGGCCTGTGCGCTGACAAATTGTTTGCTGAAACTGTGCTGCGTGTGCCTGCATGCCAGACACTCAATCTCGCAAGACTGTCATTAAAAGTCTCACTTTCGCTGTTCTCCAGGTCTCTGAGTCCATTCTTTGGGTTTGGATGGGTGAGTTTGTTTCTCACACCAAGATCCAACTTGCCTTTCTACAAGAGTCAGCTAAAATCTAATGATAAAAAAGGACTGAAAGTGGCAAGATGGATTTAGACATTCCATACAAATATTAACCAAATGAGAGCTGAAAAGGCCAAAATAATATCACACAAGCTACATCTTAAGTCAAAAACTGTCACGTTTTATAAAATATACTTTAAGTCAAAACTGCAAAGAGACAAAGAAGGACATTAAACAATAATACAGGCTGGGTGCAGTGGCTCACACCTGTACTCCCAGCACTTTGGGAGGCCGAGGCGGGCAGATCACGAGGTCAGGAGATCGAGACCATCCTGGCTAACTCGGAGAAACCCCGCCTTTACTAAAAATACAAAAAATTAGCTGGGCGTGGTGGCGGGCGCCTGTAGTCCCAGCTACTTGGGAGGCTGAGGCAGGAGAATGGCATGAACCCGGGAGGCAGAGCTTGCAGTGAGCCGAGATCGCGCCACTGCACTCCAGCCTGGGCAACAGAGCGAGACTCTGTCTCAAAACAAACAAACAAACAAACAAACAAATAAAAAAACAATAATACATTCATTTACTGGGAGCCTATGTATATATATGTGTTTGTGTGTGTTTGTATCTCACATTAAGTTTCCAAATATATATAGCAAATATTTACAGAATGGAAAAAACACCTAGACAGTAATATAATTATGGTAGGACATTTCAATACCCAACTTTCTGTAATAAAAATAATACAAGACAGAATATTAGTAAGTGAAGAGAGGACTTGAAGGCAGTATAAAACAATTATTTCTAACAGAGGTATAGAGAAGACGCCTCAACAATATCAGGATGCATGCCCTTCTCAATAGCTCATACAACATTCCCCTTGATAGACCACCTGGTAGGCAAAAAAAGAAGTGTTAACAAATTTTTTAAAACTGAAAATTTATGAATTACATTCTATGACCAAAATGAAATGAGTATAAAACAGGCAAAACCTGAAAAATTTACAACTATATAGATATTAAACACACTCTACAGCATGCTCCTGTTCAAAGGCTGAAATAATATTTTGAAGATGTCCATACTGCTCAATGTAATACAGAGATTTAATGCAATTTTTAAAAAATTTCTCATTGCATTTTTGAGGAAACAGAAACAGCAACCCCAAAAGTAGTATACGGACTCTCAAAAGACAATAAAGTACCCAAAGTCTTCAAAAAAAAGGGAACAATGTTGAAGTCATTATAGTTCCTGATTTCAAACTACATTACAAAGTTACAGAACAAAAACAATCTGGCATGAGTATAATGGCTAAAAAGTAGACTAATAGGCCGGGCATGGTGGCTCACGCCTGTAATTCCAGGACTTTGGGGAGGCCAAGGCAGGTGGATCACAAGGTTAAGAGATTGAGACCATCCTGGCCAACATGGTGAAACCTTGTCTCTACTAAAAATAAAAAAATTAGCTGGGCTTGGTGGCATGAGCCTGTAGTCCCAGCTACTCAAGAGGCTGAATGAAGCAGGAGAATCGCTTGAACCGGGAAGCAGAGGTTGCAGTGAGCCAAGATTGTGCCACTGCACTCCAGCCTGGGTGACAAAGCGAGACTCTGTCTCAAAAAAAAGTGAGCTAATAAAATAGAAGTTAGCACATATATAAATGTTCACATGGATGGCCATATGAAGTTATTTGCCTACCCATAATTATTGCAGCATCGTTACTGAAAGCCAATAGGTAAAAGGAATGCAAATTTCTGTCTCCAAATTATTCAGTAGATATAATTTAAAATATAAAAATACTGGAATATCACCTAGGACTTAAAAAGCCAAAAATATTCTAACAACTATAAAGATAAACTTTGATGACATTATGCAAAATGAAATGAGTAAGCCACAAAAAGAGACTGTAGGAGATATATGAAGCAGTTATACTCTTAGAAAAAGAAAACAGAGTGGTGTTTGCAAAGTGCCAGAAAATCAGAAAAATTGGTTCTTGTTTAATGTGTACTGAGATTTAGCTTTGCAACATATAAATGTTCTAGAGATAAGTTGCATAACATTGTCATATAATTAATAAGACTAAACAGTATATTTTATTTTTTTCAAAGACGGAATCTTGCTCTAGGCTGGAGTGCACTGGCGTGATCTCAGCTCACTGCAACCTCCACCTCCCGGGTTCAAGTGAGTCTCCTGCCTCAGCTTCCTGAGTAGCGGGACTACAGGCACCACCTTGCCCGGGTAATTTTTGTATTTTTAGTAGAGACAAGGTTTCACCATGTTAGCCACGCTGGTCTCGAACTCCTGACCTCAGGCAATCCGCCAGCCTTGTCTCCCAAAGACTTGGGATTACAGGCGTGAGCCATTGCACCTGGCCTAAACAGCATATTTTAAAATGTTTGATAATAAATTTTGATATGTGGTTCTGACAAGTAAAAATAAATACCTAAAAAAGATACAAAGTTATGATAGTTTGTATATAATCTTCAAATCCAAGAGTGTTTCTCCCACACAAAAATAATACAGGTTCACAATAGATATTGAAATAGGAGATGACTGCTCACCTAGACAAGATTGAACAACCATTTACAACAAACCTACATAACAAATATATGTCATAAAAAATACAGAGATAATATTTATCCAGGGAAACAAACAGAGATAATTATATTGGCAATAGACATATGGCTGATTTGTATTTGATTCTGCTCCAAACTGCCTTAAATTGTACAGAGTTAAACATTGTCATACACAATTATAATATAAACAAAAACATCAAAACACAGTTAACTGGTGTGAAGTGGCATACCCTAAAATATATAACATAAAAATATAAAATCGCAAAACAAAAGAAAACCATGGAATGTAAAACTTATTGGACGCCATCAAGTACATCAATATATTCATGAAATAAATCTTAGAAGACGAATATAGGGAAAAAGTAATACAGAGGTAAATTAAAGAAAAAGAAAGCTGAGAACTTCCCAAATTTTGATGTAATAAAAAAATTCTAACCAATAATACTTAATTCAAAGTAATTTTACTTGAAAAACAAAATAAAAATAAAGACTTTCCTAAATTAAATTTCAGGGTGTTCATTACAACTAGCACAGTCCTACAAGAAATGGTATATGGCAGCCAGACACAGTGGCTCATGCCTATAATTCTACAGCTTTAGGAAGCCAAGGCAGTCAGATCTCCTGGGACCAGGAGTTCAAGATCCAGTCTGAGAAACACAGACTCTGCACATAAACAAACAGAAATGCTAAAATGAATCCATTTTGTTGAAAAATAAAATGATGCTAGATGGCATCATAAAACCATATGTAAATATAAAGCTCTCTATTAAATGTAAATATACAGACAGAATTTTTTACTATCATAATAATGGTACATAAAACCATTAAAGTTCTGTAAATATCCTGCCTCAGTCTCAGGTGCCCACCACCACACCCAGCTAATTTTTGTATTTTTAGTAGAGACGGAGTTTCACCATGTTGGCCAGGCTGGTCTCAAACTCCTGACCTCAGGTGATCCATCCACCTCAGCCTCCCACAGTGCTGTGATTACAGGTGTGAGCCACCATGCCTGGCCTTATTTTTTCAACTTTAAGATGTTTTATGGGGGAGCGGGTAAGGTCGGCGGGCAAGCGGGTGTAATCCACAGCCATCCGTTCTTGGGCATGGTGGCTTCTGACCGCGGGGGTACCGAGAGTCTCCCGTCGGCCGAGTAGCAGCCAGGAAGGGGAGGCCGGGATGGTTTTTTTACCTGTTGGCCGCTTAAATCAAGGGCCGCCGGACCGGAAAGGGATGGAGGGACCGGGGATTTGGGGACTTGAAAACGAGTTGAGGAAAGGGAGCCTGTGGAAATAGACTCCAGTCTGAGCAATGTCGTTTCCCAGAGAATGGTCTCGAAGTAACTTCTCGGTAAAGTCTTCACGGAACTTCCAGACCACACTTGCCTACTGGGAGACTTTTAGGACCCGAGACGTGTGCAGGCTTTTCCAGCCAAAATGAAGTTTAATCCCTTTGTGACTTCCGACCGAAGCAAGAATCGCAAAAGGTATTTCAATGCACCTTCCCACATTGGCAGGAAGATTATGTCTTCCCCTCTTTCCAAAGAGCTGAGACAGAATTACAACGTGCGATCCATGCCCATCCGAAAGGATGATGAAGTTCAGGTTGTACGAGGACACTATAAAGGTCAGCAAATTGGCAAAGTAGTCCAGGTTTACAGGAAGAAATATGTTATCTACATTGAACGGGTACATTGAATGGGTGCAGCGGGAAAAGGCTAATGGCACAACTGTCCACGTAGGCATTCACCCCAGCAAGGTGATTATCACTAGGCTAAAACTGGACAAAGACTGCAAAAAGATCCTTGAACGGAAAGCCAAATCTCGCCAAGTAGGAAAGGAAAAGGGCAAATACAAGGAAGAAACAATTGAGAAGATGCAGGAATAAAGTAATCTTATATAAAAGCTTTGATTAAAACTTGAAACAAAGGAAAAAAAAAGATGTTTTATGTAATCTCCATTTTAAGATAATTACAATATACTTCAAGATGATTACATATTTATAGAAAGTATGCAAACCAAAATGAAAAAATAAAGCATGTAACAATGAAGTTAAAATAAACAAAAATTAAGGTAGTAAAACAGGAAATGAGAAAAAACTTATCTACAAGAAACACATAAAACAGGAACAATGAGGTAGTTTCCACAGATCAACAGACTTAGTCTTTCCCCCTGCTGGCTGTGAGAAATCCGGGCAGTACAGATGTACGGAATTTCCCCCACTGCAGCACAGCCACTCCACCAAGGGGCAGCCAGAGTGCTTTGTTAAGTGGTTCCCAGATCTCATGCATCCTGACTGGGTGAGACCCCCCCAATAGACATCATCAGATAACTTATAAAGGAGTGTTCCCACTGTCATCGGGTCATTCCCCTTCTGGGACAAAGATCCCAGAGGAAGGAGCAAGCAGTCATCTCTGCTATTCTGCAGGCTCCACTGGTTGACACCTCCAGGTGTGGGAGAAACCCACGCAAATAGGGTCTGAAGTAGATCCCAAGCAAATCACAGCAGTGCTACAGAAAAGTGGCCTGATGGTTAGAAAAACAAACAGAGGCCGGGCGCGGTGGTTCATGCCTGTAATCCCAGCACTTTAAGAGGCCGGGGCAGGAAGATCACAAGGTCAGCAGACTGAGACCATCTTGACTAACACGGTGAAACCCTGTCTCTACTAAAAATACAAAAAATTAGCCAGGCATGGTGGTGGGTGCCTGTAGTTTCAGCTACTCAGGAGGCTGAGGCAGGAGAACAGCGTGAACCTGGGAGGCGAAGCTTGCAGTGAGCCGAGATCGCACCACTGCACTCCAGCCTGGGCAACAGAGCGAGACTCCATCTCAAACAAAAAAAAAAAAAAAGAAAAAAAGAAAAACAAACAAACAGAAAGCAACAACAAAAACAGCACAAACAAAAAAGTCCCCACAAGAATCCCATCCAAAGGTCAGCAGCCTCAAAGATCCAAGCTAGAAAATCTCACAAAGATGAAAAGAATAAACCAAAAAATGCTGAAAACTTAAAAAGCCAGAGTGCCTCTTCACCAAATGATCCCAGCTAGCATATCTCCAGCAAGGGCACAGAACTGGGCAGAGGCTGAGGTGGATACATTGACAAAAGTAGGCTTCAGAAGGTGGTTAATGATGAACTTTGCTGAACTAATGGAGTATGTTCTAACCCAATGCAAAGAAGCTAAGAACCATGAAAAACACGACAGGAGCTGTTAACCAAAACAACCAATTTAGAGAGGAACATAAATGACCTGATGGAATTGAAAAACACAACATCAGAACTTCACAGTGCAACCACAAGTATCAATAACCGAGTAGACCAAGCTGAGGAAGGAACTTCAGAGTTTGAAGACTACCTTGCCGAAATAAAACAGGCAGACAAGATTGAAGAAAAAAGAACAGGAATGAAAGAAATCTCCGAGGTCTATGAGATTATGTAAAAAGACTGAACCTATGACTGACTGGGGTACCTTGGATAGGGAGAAAGGAACCAAGTTAGAAAACATCCTTTAGGATATCATCCAGAAGAACTTTCCCAACATAACAAGAAAGGCCAACATTCAAAATCAAAAAATCCAGAAAACCCCAGTAAGATACTCCATGAGAAGATCATCCCCAAGACACAAAATCATCAGATTCTTCAAGATTGAAATTCAGGAATAAATGATAAGGCAGTCAGAGAGAAAGGCCACATGACCTACAGACAAAAGTTCGTCAGACTAACAATAGACCTTTAAGCAGAAACCCAAGTCATAAGAGATTGGGGGCCACTACTCAACACTCTTAAAGAAAAGAATTTCCAGACAAGAATATCCAGGAAAACTAAGCTTCATAAATAAAGGAGGAATACAATCATTTTCAGACAAGCAAATGCTGAAGGAATTCATCACCACCAGGCCTGCCTTGCAAGAGCTCCTGAGAGAAGGGCTAAACATGGAAAGAAAAAAAAACCATTACTAGCCACTGCAAAAACACACTGAAGTACAAAGACCAATGACACTATGAAAAAACTACATCAAAGAGTCTTCAAAATAACCAGCTAGCACCATGAAAACAGGATCAAATTCACACATAGCAATATTAACCTTAAACTTTTTTTTTTTTTGAGATGGAGTCTTGTTTTGTCACCCAGGCTGGAGTGCAGTGCACAATCTTGGCTAACAGCAACATCTGCCTCCCAGGTTCAAGCAATTCTGCCTCAGCCTCCCGAGCAGCTGGGATTACAGATGTGCACCACTATGACAGGCTAATTTTTATATTTTTAGTAGAGGTGGGGTTTCGCCATGTTGGCCAGGCTGGTCATGAACTCCTGACCTCAGATGATTCACCTGCCTCAGCCTCCCAAAGTGCTGGGATTACAGGCATAAGCCACCGTGCCTGGCCTAATCTTAAATTTAAATGGGCTAAATGCCCTCATTAAAAGACACCTAATGTCAAGCTGGTTAAAGAGTCAAGACCCATTGGTGTGCCATATTCAAGAAACCCATCTCACATGCAAAGACACACACAGGCTTAAAATAAAGGAATGGAGGAAAATTCATCAAGCAAATAAAAGAAAAAAAGAGGAATTGAAATTGTAGTTTCTAACAAAATAGACTTTAAACCAACAAAGATCAAAACAGAAAAAGAAAGGCATTACATAATGCTAAAGGGATCAATTCAAGGAGCATGCAGATTTATAAAACACATTCTTAGAGACCTACACAAAGGGACTTAAACAAACTCCCACACAATAATAGTGGGAGACTTTAACACCCTACTGCCAATATTAGACCAATAATGGAGACAGAAAAGTAACAAAGATATTCAGGACTTGAACTCAGCTTTGGGTCAAATGGACCTGACAGATATCTACAGAACTTTCCAGCCAAGAACAACACAATACATATTCTCCTAAGTGCCACATGGCACTTACTTTAAAACAGATCACATAATTGGAAGGAACACTCCTTAGCAAATGCAAAACAACTGAAATCATAACAGTCTCTCAGACTACAGTGTAATCAAATTGGAACTTGAGAGTAAGAAACTCACTCAAAACTACACAAGTACATGGAAATTGAACAACCTGCTCCTGAATGACTTCTGGGTAAATAATAAAATTAAATCAGAAACCAAGAAATTATTTGAAACCAATGAGAACAAAGAGACTATGTACTGGAATCTCTAGAACACAGCTAAAGCAGTGTTAAGGGGAAAATTTATACCACTACATAGCCACGTCGAAAAGCTAGAAAAGATCTCAAATTGACACCCTAACATCACAACTAAAAGAACAAGAGAACCAAGAGCAAACAAACCCCAAAGCTAACAGAAGACAAGAAATAACCAGAATCTGAGTGAAACTGAAAGAGATAGAGAAAGAGAGAGAGATAGAGACAAAAAAAACCTTCAAAAAATCAGTGAATCCAAGAGCTATTTTTTAAAAAACATTAATAAAATAGATAGAACACTAGCTAGAGTAATGGAGAACAAAAGAGAGAAGAAATACACACAATACAAAATGATAAAGAGGATACTACCACTGACCCCACAGAAATATGAACCATCAGAAAATACTATAAACACCTCTATGCACATAAACTGAAAAATCTAGAAGAAATAGATAAATTACTGGACACACACACCCTCCCAAGACCGAACTAGGGAAAATTTGAATCCCTGAATAGACCAATAACAAGTTCTCAAATTGAGCAAGTAATAAATAGCCTACAAACTAAAAATGCCCAGGGGCAGATGGATTTACAGCTGAATTCTACCAGAGGTACAAAGAGGAGTTGGTACCATTTCTTCTGAAACTATTCCAAATGATAGAAAAAGAGGGACTTCACTCTAACTCATGTTATAAGATCAGCATCATTCTGGTACTAAGGTCTGGCAAACATATAACAACAACAACAACAACAAGAAACTTTAAGTCAGTATCTCTGATAAACATTGATGCAAAAATTCTCAATAAAATACTGGCAAACCAAATCCAGCAGCACATCAAAAAGCTTATGCACCGCGATCAAGTCAGCTTCATCCCTGGGATGCAAGGCTTTTTCAACATAAACAAATCAATAAATATAATTCGTCATATAAACAGAACTAAAAACAAAATCCTTATGTTTATCTCAATAGATGCAGAAAAGGTCTTTGATCAAATTCAACACACCTTCATGTTAAAAATGCTCAATAAACTAGGTATTTATGGAAAATACCTCAAAATAATAAGAGTCATTTATGACAAACCCACAGCCAATATCATACTGAAAGGGCAAAAGCTGGAAGCATTCCCCTTGAAAACTGGCACAACAAGAATGCCCTCTCTCACCACTCTTATCCAACAGAGTATTGGAAGTTCTGGCCCGGAAAATCAGGCAAGAAAAATAAATAAGGGGTATTCAAATAGGAAGTCAAACTGTCTGTTTCCAGATGACATGATACCATATCTAGAATGCCCCAGTATCAGCCCAAAAGCTTCTTCAGCTGATAAGATGCTTCATCAAAGTCTCAGGATACAAAATCGATGTGCAAAAATTACAAGCATTTCAATACATTAACAATAAACAAGCAGAGAGCCATATCATGAATGAACTTCCATCCACAATTGCTACAAAAAAGAATAAAATATCTAGGAATAGAGCTAACAAGGGAAGTGAAGGACCTCTTTAGGAAGAACACAAACCACTGCTCAAGAAAATCAGAGAGGACACAAATAAATGGAAAAGATAGAAAGAATCAATATTGTAAAAACAGTCATACTGCCAAAAGTAATTCAATGCTTATCCCACTAAACTATTACTGACATCTTTCACAGAATTAGAAAAAACTATTTTAAAATTCATATGGAACCCAAAAGACCCCATATAGTCAAGACAATTCTAAGCAAAAAGAACAAAGCTGGAGGCATCATGCTATCTGACTTCAAACTACACCACAAGGCTATAGTAACCAAAAC